GGTGGACTACACTACACAAATGTATGAGGACTGAAGTCCTAGGCTTTCATTACAAAATTCACAACAAAAGAGCCCATTTCGTGACTTGTATTACAAAAGAACTAGGACAAATTTTCATAACCAACCTATTTAGAAATATAATTACAAAAAATGATCTATTTGCAACTTAATTATCAAAATCGACCCAGTTTTAGCCAGTTGGCTGAAACAGAGTCGATTGTGATAAAAAAAAGCTACAAAACTTCACGGGACTTCAAGTCCCGCGAAGTTTAAGACCTCGCTGAGGAACTTGATTAGAGGGTATTTAAGTTCACGGGACTTAAAGTCCAGTGAAATAAGTTGATATGGCAACTTCACGGGACTTGACTTCAAGTCTCGTGAAGTTTCAGCTGAAACTTTCATTAGGCATGTCCATGTTTACGAGATAAACAACGCAAAGCCTCTTCTTTCATTGGGCCTTCACTAGTAAAGCCCATTTAGAAAACTTCTTTCTTTGGGCCTTCACGAGTACAGCCCATTTAGAAAACGGCGTTGCTCGTGGACAGTACGAATAAAAAACATATGAAAGTTTGCTTAGGTTAAGAATCTGGCTACAACATTCAGCCACTTTCCAGTTCATTTCATTTGTAATTCTTTTCTTTTACATGTTGGGTCTGATTGATTCTAATCGCTGGTCACCTGACTTGTGTAAATTGTAAAGCTAGTGAAGGCCCAATGCAAGAAGAGGCTATGTACTGTTTCTCTCATAAACAGGGACAGACCTAATGAAAACTTCAGCTGACACTTTATACGGGACTTTAAGTCCCCTAAAGTTGCCATAGCCATAACTTTAATACCCTCTAATCAAGTTTCTTATCAGGGGCTTAAACTTCTCGGGACTTACAATTCCGTGAAGTTCCGCAACTTTTTTTTTTATCAAAATCAACCCAATTTTAACCAACCAGCTGAAACTGGATCGATTTTGATAATTAAGTTGCAAATGAGTTGTTTTTTTTTATAATTATGTTTCTAAAGAGGTCGGTTTTGAAAATTTCTCCCCGCTCAGAAGCTAAATATGAGGTGGATAGAATTGAGGGTAAATAAATGGCAAACGTTTGTGGGGGTAAAAAAAAGATTAAAATGGTGGACTACATTACACAAATGTACGAGGACTGAAGTCCTAGGCTTTCATTAAAAAATTCACAAGAAAAGAGCTCATTTCGTGACTTGTATTACAAAAGAACTAGGATAAATTTTCAAAACCAACCTATTAGAAATATAATTACAAAAAACGACCTATATGCAACTTAATTATTAAAATCGACCCAGTTTCAGCCAGTTGGCTGAAACAGAGTCGATTGTGATAAAAGAAAAGCTACAAAACTTCACGGGACTTTAAGTCCTGTCAAGTTTATACCCTCAGTAAGGAACTTGATTAGGGGATATTTAAGATCACGGGACTTGAAGTCCCATAAAATATTTTGCTATGACAACTTCACGGGAATTGACCCGTGAAGTTTCAGCTGAAGTTTTCATTGGGCCTGCCCCTGTTTATGAGAGAAACAACACATACCCAATGAAAACTTCAGCTGACACTTCACGGGACTTTTAACTCCCTTGAAGTTGCCATAGCTAAAAATATTTCACGAAACTTCAAGTTCCGTGAACTTAAATACCGCCTAATCAAATTCCTCATTGAGGGTATAAACTTGACAGGACTTCCGTGAAATTCCGCAACTTTTTTTTATCAAAATCAACCCAATTTTAGCCAACTAGTTAAAACTGTTAATAATTAAATTGCAAATGGGTCAATTTTTTTATAATTATGTTTTTAAATAGGTTTGTTTTGAAAATTTGTGCCCCGCTCATAAGCTAAAAAAAAGATTAAAATGTACACAAATTACTAGATAAGATTAAAATGGTTTATAATTAAACTTTTTTTTAAATAGGTTTGTTTTGAGGGTAAATAAATGGCAAACGTTTGCGAGGTAAAAAAAAAGATTAAAATGGTGGACTACAGTACACAAATGTACGAGGACTGTAGTCCTAGGCTTTCATTACAAAACTCACAAGATAAGAGCCCATTTCGCGACTTGTATTACAAAAGAACTACATAATTTGCAGTCTGGTAACCCGGTTCTAGTGACTGAAAACATCCATATCATCTATTTCTCTAGTCGATTTTTTCTTACCAAATTACTAGATATATAACTATAATCTGCATCTAAAAGAGATAACGGAACTACATTAGCAGACTAATACTAACTTAACCCAAGTGTTAGCACAAGAACCGTATCCCAGAAATTTAAATCCTCCGACAAATTCTAGTATGGCAAAATGTCAGTAAACTGTATCTAAAAACGATTTCTACAAATCTAATATTGAAATTGAAATATATCTGGTAAGATAAATAACCTCGCATACAACAGCACATATAAGTACAACCTCATACATACTCACATCAAAAACATAAAAACTGAAAACCGTATGGATGACGTATGAATGTAGCAGCCTAATAGGTAGCAGCCTCATACAAAAAACCCAAGAAAACTTCACGAAAATCATTTATCTGAACTTGAGAATTTTTGAAATTAAACAATAAGAAAAAACATCTCTGTAAAGAATAACAAAAAGATGCAAGTATTATAGATAAGTCTGTGTTTGTTCTTTGATCAAAATATACTCCGCTGCTCAGATATACTTTGTAAATACATGTAGTCTGAACTAATGAAATCCAATGTGCTCAAAAGAATACACATCTATTAGATAATCCCAAACCAGTTCAACACAAACATGATTCTAGATTATAGATCTGAAAAGGAGAGGGGAACAAAAATGATGAAGACGATAAAGTGACACTCTTTTATCAATTTGTATGTATTTGCTCGAAAAAGATTTAGAGGATATTGTTAATTGCTGAAACTACAGGACAAGGAAAGATAGAATAACTGAAGAACACAGAGTAAGCATTTCCATGAGAATCCCAGTCAAACTAAGACTGAAATGATAAAAATTGATCAGGAACTTCTGTTACCCGGCAGCAGTTGAACTGTTGAAGTACCCAAGATGAAAAACAAAGCTGACAATAGATAAGTAGCATAAAAGAAAATAAAGTAACAAATTCCGGCAAAAAGTCTGAATAAATGACAAAAGAAATTATATATGAAATTTTATTGAAGTGAAATCACATCA